TGTAACATTTTGTTCATTTTTGTGCCTATAATTAACTCCCCATTTCTCTTAACTTCCCCTGTCATATGCCTAAACAACTATTAATCCAGTTATTGTCATTATAGATTTACCTGTCCTGGATTTCATCTACAGAAAAATATACAAAAACAACAGTAACGAGTTAAAACTCAAATGAAATGAAAGCAAAAAATAATAAACACTAGAACCAACTGTCTGCCAGTTTGCCATCCTGTGGTGGTTGTGTGTGGCTCTGGTGCTGGAAGCTATGTCACTGGTATTTCGAATGCACGCATGGTCACCCAAAGTGAACAGCTTTCAGGGGAGCTTCCAGGCTAAGACCAGACAATGAAGAAGGACTAGGCTCCCTACTTTGGAAGAAATAGCTGCTGCAAACTCTATTGTCAGATACTGAAGGCCTGCTGAATGGAAGCAGAACATAGTCAAAGAAAGTGCCCGTACACGGGCCCCTTGACTGAGGAGGAGCTGATTAATAACGCGGCCGCAACAATGGGCTCAGGCACAGGAACGATTGTGAGGATGGCGCAGGATCCAGCACTGTTTTGTCCCATTGCGCATGGTCGCTATGGGTCAGAATCCACCCAATGGCACCGAACGACTAAAGAAAAAATTTCTAATGTGCAAAAAGGGAGAACAAATGATAAGGAATTAAATTTTAACCTAACTATATCTGCATTTTAATTTCTACTAGTTAGTCCACTTTCTAGTGCACTTTGTCTGATAGCAAGGCAATTTATATCCCTGGTCAATGGTCAGAAGAGATTCAGGGGGGGCTTAATCTATATGGGATTAATGTGAAAATCAATATGAAAAGGCTACCGACTGCATAATTATAACTATTTGACGTCTGGGAAAGACAAATATAGAAACAGTGAAAAGATCCGTGGTTATCTTTTCAACCTGCAAATAGAGTTTGGGCTTTGCATGCATATTGTCATGTCATTGCCATGCAAACTCGATCCTCAGAATTTAAGCTCTGATACTGTTCCCTTCTCGGTCTTGGATTTTATTATTTATAGTCTTTGGATCACACAGGCTGGTGTGCTTTTTCTTTGTGGACTTAGCTGACACCTCATTCAGACGGTTCCTTGCTTTAAGACAAACGTTTAAGATGCTATTCTTTCTGAAATCTGAGCACCATCTGCTTTCTTCACCACACTTTGGTATACAATCTTGAGAGAGCTCTTCATGAGGATACGTAAGGCCACATGAAAAGAACTAATTGTTCTTAGGTAAGGGCTACAACTAGGTCTGAGTACAAAATTCATTCAGATATCCCTGGCTTATCTATATCCCTTGTCCAGTTTAGAGACATCATTACCATTTTATTGGAGAACATTATAAATTATCTCATGGGACATATGGTAATTATATTGATAGTATCTTTAATTTAGCCAATGGATGATGTAGAATTTAAGGTATTATTGAGAAAAGGAAAGATAATAATGTTGAGATCTATTTAGACTAACACTCAAGGACATTTGACTTGTACAAACTAAAACTTAAGTGACTAGATGCTATTTACACAAACAAGGAAGGTTGGAGAAGCTGTCTCTTAAGAACACAAGGAGCCCTGGTGACCTAGTAGATTACATGTTGCGCTGCTAACTGCAGGGTCAGCAGTTCGAATTCACCAGCCACTACATGAGAGAAATTAAGCTTCTGCTTCCTAAAAGACGGAGTCTCACAAACACACGCCATATGCAGTGAACCCTCGCCACTTCGCGCTTCGACTTCCGCGGCTTCACTCTATCGCTGTTTTTGCGTAACAGCACCCACTGCCTCCTTCAGAGGAAAAAGACGGCGACCCACCTGTAGAGTACATCCCTTAAGTCATTTCATAGGCTATTGATTACAGTATTTGTAAGAACTATGTATAATAATACTGTATGTGAAATATGTAATACTGTAAACTAGATGCCATAAATAATATAATAAATAATAAATGATCATTGTAATGTCCAAAATGTTTTACTGTATTTTCCCTTTTTCGTTTAATAAATTGGGTAATACGAGTGTAATGGTGACTAAAGGGTGTTTTTTCATGTCCTCTATGCTCTAACTACGAAAATATTTGATTTACAAATAAGGAATCCTACTTCGCGGAATTTCATTTATCACGGTAGGGTCTAGAACCGATTAACCGTGATAAACGAGGGTTCACTGTGGTTGCTGAGTCAGAATTGACTTGACAAAAGTGAGTTTTGATTTTATTTTTTTCTGTTCTTTTTTGTTTCTTTCGGTTTTGTGTCAACCTAAAGCTGCTCTAAATAATGCAGTTTATTTTAAACGAAACACTCAGGACTCAAGTTACAGGGACTTGCAAAGATGAGAGTAAAGATGGTTGACAAATGAAATAAAAACATTATTTCTGCAAGACAAGAATTGAATGACACTATCAGTCCATTTTGCATTGTAATTTTATGAAAGAGACGGTGTACCATTTGGGATGAGACTAACTATTCATGGTGCATATAAAATTCCACTATAATAAGGGTTCCTGGCTAGTTGGTTTTTTTTAAAGCAAACTTAGACCCTATAACATGGGTTGATGTGGTTTCAGAAAAATTATTGGAAATCAACTTAAAAACTAAGCATACAGTTTGACCCTTGGCCCTTAATAAAAAGATTTGTGCTTCTATTGAAGGTAGAAAAGAAGCTTGAGTTTTTGTGACCGTCTTTGATATCCATTTGAATTGTCTTTTAATCAGAACATTGGCTCAGTTAATTCTGGTTAGACCCCTTGCTGCAAATTTGCCTTTCTACTGCAGATACTCTGAATCGGAATCTACATTTTAATTACAACCAATTAAAATCTACTTGTATGCACAAGAATAACCTGAGATTGTGTTACACTGTATATCAGGGGTGGAAATTCAAACACTAAGTAGGAGGTCAAACTAATTCAAAGTTCTGTTTTGGTTCTTCTTACACATCCCTAAGTCAACTCTGTTATCTCAACTTGGGGTACGAGATTAAAGACAAACAAACTGTTCATAGTGGTTGTCTTTGTATGTGTGCAGCATGAAGTCGTCGTTTACTTTTCACTTGATACCTTTGACTAATATTTGAAGTTTTAACCATGATTCTTTTTAGATGTACAAGAAAAATAACCTGACTTCACCAATTTCTGACTAAAATCAAAGTAAACTGTACCCCCAAAACATCCAAACCTCTGATCTATGCATGCTACATAATCTTTTTTTCATTTAAAATGCTTTTCTTTCTTTTCAATTCAATCATATCAAGAAGAGGTGTGCAATTGCCACAATCAATTTTGGAATATTTTCTTCTTTCCCATACTCACTGTTGTAAGCTCTCCTTTCCCCTGCCATGATTAATTAGGTAATCATTAATCCGTTTACTGTCTCTACAGATTTATACAATGTTTTACAAAGTGTAGTCCAAGCATTACCTTCATGGAAAACACCTGGGGTGTTTGTTTTTAATGTCGGTCCTTGGGGCCTACTCCCAAAGATTGTTTCAAACAGGTCTATTACACAGCCCTAGGCAATCTTGATGATGCTGGCTGCTAAGCATTGGATGCTGTCCATTCACTGCAAGGTCAGCGATCGCAAACCTAGTAGCTGTTCTGTGGGAGACAATGAGGCCATCTGCCCTCACAGTGATTTATAGACTCGGAAATCCTGTAGAGGGTGGCTGTGAGTGGGGGTCGATTGAACGGCAGTGGGTTGGGCTGGTTCTAGAACCTTGGGTTTTGCTTTTTGTTTCCCTGATTCTTAGCTGCAGTAAGGTTTGCCAGTCACACACAGATTCCTCTTTTCACTCGTTTAATGCATTTAACTGTTTGAGTTTCAAATAACAGAGCCCTCTTAATAGGGATAGGGATCGCCATCCAAAGATGAGAGGTAGGCAGTGACTTTTTCCCCTTTTCCTCTTGACATTATAAAACCATTCGGTCTGAGGAGAAGAGGATTTCAAGTGTAAACTTGTAGGTTGGCCCCCAAAAGAACTGATTTGATTTTCATGTGTATGACAAAGAGGATCCTGGGAAATGAAAAGTCTCAAAGGATTCATAGGATCAAATGGGCCTCACATTTTAAATATATTTATATTTATGTATCAATACATATACACACAGAAGCTGTACATTTTCTTTTTTTTAAAGATCATTTTACTGGGGGCTCTTACAATTCATGTAACAATCCATACATCAATTGTATCAAGCATATTTGTACATGTTGTCATCATTCTTTTCTAAACATTTATTTTATATTTGAGCCTCTGGTATCAGCTCCTCTTTTTACCTTCCCCCCCCTTGATAAATTATAAATTGTTCTTATTTTCATCTTACACCGACCATTGTCTCCCTTCACCCTCGGTTTCTGTGGTTTGTCCTGGGATTGGGGGAGGGGTGTTATGTGTTGATCATTGTAATCAGTTCCCCCTTCCAACCTTCCTCTCCCCATCATCCCCCTCCCCAGCTGGTATTGCTACCCCAATTTCTGTTCCTGAGGAGTTTAGCTGACCTGGATTCTGTATGTCATGAGTTCTTATCTGTACCTGTGTACATGCTCAGGTCTAGCCCAAAGTGAAAGGTCATGACAGTGGGGGGTGAGGAAGCCTCAAGGAACCAGAGGAATATTGTGTGTTTCACCGGTGCCCTAGTTGATTCACCCCTTCCTTGTGACCTTTCTGTGAGCCTCATATATTAATTTAATAGAAATTTCTTTAGTTTTTAAGGCCAAGTAAATGCTGGAAAGAGTAGTAAATATCTATCCTTGATAAAGGAGATTTGTGGAAAAGTTAAAGGAAAAAGTTACCAAAGTGGAAAGGACAAAAAAAAAAAATCATTGGCAGAATTTACTGCAATTCTTGTGTATAATAGAACACAGTGCAAGAACTATATATAAAAAAAGAACTATATCAGTAATAAATCAATTATACATTTATTGATGGAATTATAATGCAAAACAATCATAACAAAGGAACAATCTTTTTGAGTAAAATGGTTTTGCTTACTAGTTGAAACATTTTTTTGAAATATAACATGCAAAAAAGATGGTCAAATATGTCATTATAGAAGCCCTTGGATTTATATAAAGTTATCTTAGCAATAATTTTCACAAAGTCCGCTCCATATCACTTGAAGCAATGGTCTTGTGTGTGTGTGTGTTTTAAATACTTGTTTCTCAGAATGGTGAACCATATTTTAGCAAGGCTTCTAGAAATCGGTTAGCTGAAAGTGAGATGTATCTAGGAAAGGTTATTTTGGGCTAATGGGTGAATAGTTATCTTTAGTTATAAATGAAGGTGATAGACAGTTTAGCTTTTGAAAATAGAATGGTCTATTCAGTACTATATTTCTTTGATAAAGTTTCTTTTTGGTTCTTGCTGGCTTAATTTCTTCTCTCAGATTTTCGGGAAAAGACAGGGGTATGGGTGAAATTGGTATTGGGGACCTTGTTGGAAGACATCTTGTTGAGACCATTTTAACCAGTGATTGAGTTGTTTGGGCACTACCAGCCTTTGTTGAGAGTTCTTGGCATAGATTTAAAATAGAGCTTTTGGGATTCTTAAAGTCATCATAAGTTGCAATCAGCTGTTTTTTAGTGGATGAACTTTTTAGAGATGTTGGCCTAGAATTCCATCTATACTTTGCAGCATTATTCCAGTTCCATTTTGAAGCACTTTGTTCAAGTTTGCACGAACTAGAAGTGTTTTTTCTTTTCTCCCTATTTTTATCCACACAGAGTGCCTGAAGATTCAAAGAGTCAGAAAGTTTTGGCTGCCTCGCTTGAGGTGCAGCTTTGGAGGAGGACGGGCGTTCAGGAACTATCGGAGGACTTAAGTTAGCTTGTAGTCTCTTCTCTTTTTGTATCGTCACGTGCTGTAGTCGTTCCATTTCCAGTAAACGAGTTATCAAGTGCTCAACAGAGCTGTCTGAAGGTTCAAGCCCTGCTTTCCAATTTTCAGATTTTGACAGGGCTAATTTGTACAAGTCTACAGTATTGAAAGGTGGAGGGAGAAAATCAGGGTATGGGAAGACTTCACTTGGCTCCTCTGTGAAAGCGTCCTCAAAGTTTTCTATTGTTTCTGGCTTTAAGTTCAGGTCCATTGTTTTAAAATAGCTGAGCAAAGTCTCATTTGCTTTTTCGCTTTCTGATAAGTCGCTTTCATCTGTTAAATTTTCCTCCACATTGCTATTTCCATATTTAAAATTCCCATGGAAAGCAGACAGAGTGTCACAACTGCTGCTTTCTGTAGCCGAACATAAATTCATCTGAAGTTCATTTCTGTCGTCAAAAAAGTCTCCATCTGCGTACGGCCAGCAGAGACCTAGTGACACCTGTTGCAGCAGTCCAGGGTAAGAGTCAACTTGTTTCTCAACTGCAGCACTTGGCGTTAGTGAGTGGTTCAGAGTGAAGAGCCTTATGGGAGTACTGGTTATATTAAAGCCAGTGTTTACTGAAGACAGTTGGAAATCCCTTTAAAAATAATTAATGAATAATAGAATTCAAATGCTATAGAAATGATGACTAAAGATTGGTAAACATTTCCTTCCAATGTTTTATATCTCTCCGTATGTCACAGAAATACACTGATTTAAAAACTATATAATCATATATAAGTAGAGGCTGAAAGGTTAAGCAGGCATCCCTTTGTGCAAGTGCAGGTAAATAGGCCATTATACTGAAACATGGGTAACTGGGGCTATGAAGAGAACCTAGGTTAAAAGTAGCTAACTCTATTTACCTATGAATAGATTGTACATGCAATTATGACATGAGGATGCTTCAAAAAATTTGTGGAAATTTTGCATTATCTTTTAGTTCCATCTTTCCACAAACTTTTGGGATCCCTCTAAAAATGAGGCTGCCCAATTCAAATGGAAATTATAGGGAAATGTTCATTGATCCAGAATCAGGTATAAGGAGACTAACAAAAGTAATTAAGTTGCTTTAAAAAGGCTTCTGCTTTAGCCAAAAGTGAAGAAAAACTATTTCCTTTTTTTCTTTTTTGTGAGTGAGTGAATGAGAGAGTGAGTGAGTGAGAGAGAGTGAGTGAGAGTGAGTGAGAAAGAGAGTGAGTGAGTGAGAGAGTGAGTGAGTGAGAGAGTGAGAGAGTGAGTGAGTAAGAGAGTGAGTGA